AGTCATGAAACTGTTGAGCAGAGAAAGATGAGTGAGAAGATTTTTTATGTAGGAGTTTAGATAGAACAGACCACCTATTTTTAGATGTTGAAGCAGATGTTATAGAATTTCTAAGAAAAGTAGAGTGTTTAGAGAATAGTAGATATTTATAATTAATCAATTCAGATTCATAGATAGAATAAAGAGAGTTAGATGGATTTAACCTATAGGCTTTCTCCAGTCTTCTAAGACTTTTCTTGGCTACTACACAAGCATAATCAAACCAAGGAGCCTTACGAGAATAGAGCCTATAAGTAAAAGATTTAAGAGGAATAAGCTTATCAAGAATAGAAGTAATGTAGATATTAAAAGCACAGACAAAATCATCAACATCAGAAAATAAGGTAGTATCAAAAATAGGTTCAGTAAGAGATTGAAGAAAAATATCTTTATTAAGAGAAGACCAGCATCTTTTAGAAATAGACATAGATGAATTTGAAGGAAGAAAATCTAATGAAAAAACAGATTCAATAAGAAGGTGATCAGAGTAAGGAACAGAGCTAGCAGAGATATTAATAGGCTTAGAAAAAGATGAAGCTATTATAAAATCAATTAACGTTTTAGCAATCTTTTGCATATCATTCATTCACGCCTACGCCTTCAGTGGATATACCAGATGGATCTTCTATCTTTTTCATAATGATCTCACTATAGAGATTGTACAAGTCTGGAAAAAATACACAGCCTTGTCTAACATCTTTCTTTATTTGGACAAAACTAGTCATCTTGTTACCAACATTCATCACTGCTCTTTAATCGCAATAGAGGTTTTTGAAAACTCTCGTGTCTTTTCCCTAAATTTCCAAATTTTCAATTTTTCCATAATTTCCACGTGTTTTACGCTATCAAAAGTTTTCTGGTAACCGACAAAACATATAAACAAGTTGTTTTTTTTATTTAAATCGCTTGTTCACTAAAACATATAAACAAGTTGTTTTTTTATTTACATCGCTTGTTCACTGACCATTCGTAGCATTTCTTGTACCACAATACTCGACAAAAAACATTGAACATTTGAAATTTCAGATCTGATTTTGCTTAGTACTCTCATCATTAGAATTTTCAAAAGCAGTTTTGTAAGATTGATTGTTCGCTGTAGTTCACATTTTGTTGCATTATGTTTTAATTTTTTTCGAAACAACTTTATTATGTACTGAAATGACAGTATTCTTTCAGTTAGTAAATTTGACCTCGGTCAAAGTTAGTATCGATTAAAGTTAGCTGCTTAGGTCTAGTTAAAATTGCAGTAATTTGTTTGATGTAATTTCTGTAAAAATTAAAGTTACCGTTCAATTCATATAACTAGAATAAATATTACGGCCTTCGCTCACTTTTAACGGTCGAACAAGGAGCTTACTTCCGGAGGGGAATTGGAGGGTAATTTTTGTATCGTTCGAGTCAAAAGTTACGATCATATATTTACTAATTATGGAATATTGCTTTTATTTAAAATGTTAAAACTTTTATTTTTTTAAATTGCTATTCAACGTGGTAATTAATTACTTTTATTTAGTATAAATTTAAAAAAATAAAATTGACATTACCGAAAATAATTAAAAGTTGAAAAAATTGAGGTTCTTTGCATATCCCTGCTTCAACCCATAAGAAAGTGTTGTATATTGGTAAATAGACCCCTCTTGGTTTAACTCATTATTTAAAATGCCTATACAAGCCCTCGAACGCACCCGCGCGCATTTTCAAAGCGCTTTAGAGTCTGGCCTCATTCACTAGTTTCCATACACAATTATTCATCAAACTCATCGAATTATACAATTTTCACATTTTTATAGTTTATTAATAAACATTTATTCATTTTTAAATATTTTATTAATTTTAATTATTTTTTAATTGATTTATTTCATGCATTTGCATAATATTTATGCGTATTTGTACCAGAGTATCTTTATTTTGATGTACGTATAGCCAGGTTGATTTGAGATCATCGTGCTTGACGATCCAGTTCAACTAATAATTTATGGGCCAAGCTGCCTACGCATTGAATTTTTTTATTACAATATCTGTTAGTGCTGTACTGAAGCTTAAAAGTCGTTTATTTATTTAATGTAAAAATATCACGTTTTAAATAAATATAAAAACTACATCTACCGAAATATCGAGCTTCAAAACAAACTAAATTTTCTAACAAGCTGTTATTTTGCATGGATAGTCCATCGTATTTGGTAGACGATCATCAATTACACGATGTTAACCACTCGTATTAAGCTTTCAAGAATGTAAATCAATAGATCCATAAAAAAGAAAAATTATCGTGAATTTATTGCCCTGACAGCAAATAATTTAAAATTTATCTACGCGCCAGCGAAAATCAACATTGTGGGATATCAACAATATCGTCTGACTAGGTGAAGCACATAGTAGTTGTAGTAGTAATAGATGTTGATTTTGTTGTTGATTAGTGGTACCTCAAATTCCTAATATTACATGTTTTATGTCATACAATTGGATGTCGATTATAACAAAAATTAATTTTTTACCCAAGGTTTTCTTTCGAAAGAGTCACTGATTTACTGAATGAGTTAGAGTTAAACTAGTTATTTACCTGCCAGTCGAGTTAGTTACGAAAAATAAAAACCAAAATATTCAAAGGACGAGCGGAACGGCCTTCCACGAAGCATGGTCAAGAACACAACGCCACTGGATGCCATTTATTTTACTGCCTATAACATGACACCTCATATCCTCATATAAAACAAATATTAGTTATGTGAAAACAAAATATTTTTATTATACAACGTATTAAGAATTATTATCAAAGGGAACGGTTCGAAAAATATAAAATGTAAAACGTTATTTTATGCAGTTTCCATCAGGATAAACTTTCCTGAAGGCTTTTACCATTTCCGGATCTAATAATTTCACACCGTCAACTTGATTTCCCAACGTAACCCAATTAGGCTGTACGTTATGTGGTCTTCCAAACAGTTCAATTTTCCTGGTGCCTGGAGACAGGCGCTCAATTATGCCATAAATCTCATCAGGTTTGTGGCTTGTCGCTCTGACTTCTGACACAATAACATCGCAATCAAGACCTCGATTAACAGGTAAATTTCCTTTAACCCCAACTAAACAATGTTCTTTTCCATGGTTTAACCAATGTCCAGTTCTGCCAGTTCTGATTATTCTCTGTAATTGGTTGGTTTTGACCCATATCAACTCATCAACTCTTTCATACCCCCATAACGTCAAACATTCTCTCCCCAGTTCCATGGCTCTCCCAGTGACCCAAAGAAATATATAACCATCATCTTGCAAAACCGGGACATTCAATTTTCTCATTTCATCATCAGACATAGTGCCATAAGGTAACTCCATATGGATATCCCATGGCGGATCAGCCATTACAATAGCAAACTTTCCCAAAACTGACATGTCAAATTGACGCAAATCACATTGAACCCACTGAGGTGGAAAAAGAGTTGTGGTTGCGTCATCTATTTTTGATAAAGCCAATTCTTCAACGTTGTTGTTAGATGTTGAAATAATCTGCTGATCATTGACAATGTGTACTCTATTATTAACGGCTAAGTAATCAATTTGATAATGTACATATTTACAAGTGTCCATGTGGAAACAGGTATTTAAAAATGAACAATCTCCAAGAGATTCATCTGTATGCTTATGAATGATTTTTTTGAAATGCAATCTATCACAGATAATGTTGTTCTTCTGACATTCCTCTCTCGTTCCATAACCACAAAATTCCTTCACCTGCTTACCACCTTGTGACCTGAATCTTTCACTCAGCAACAATTCCTTCGCTGTTGGTTTAGCTAGAAGGATGAGGATTTCCTCTGTTAACCGGTTTGTTTCCCGTTCTTTGGCTGATTGAGTTGACAGCAAACTTTCAATTAACTGGTCCTCTTTTGAGGATTCTTTCTGAAAATAGATAAACATAAAAGTATATTATCACTCGTTAAAATAGTGACCAATAATATTGAAAATTCTGAATGCTAAATAGATAGACTCACCACTTTTTTTCGATTTCCTATTTCCAAAGTTTTTTCTAATTTTCTTTTTTTCCCTTTTTCAGCAGCCAAAGATGAACTGACGTCATCCTTAGAATCAAAACGTGTCTCTAATTGTTGTAAAGCAGTTAATTTTTTGTGATCAATTGCAACGACTGATTGATCAATTCCACTTTTCTCATCCAGTGTTATGAGGCCTTGTATGGCATATTTCCTAGCCAGATCACTGATACACTCCCAACTAAATGCTTTACCAATTTGCTGAAAAAAATATAAAAAATTATCAAATACATTAGCCATTAGATCAATTCAACAATGCAAGAACATGTTACAATTTTAAATGAATGACAAAAAAAGTGCAAAACATTTTAATGAAAAAAGAATAAGAAGGTCCCGAGGCATAAGTACTCTGGTAAAGTGTATTTTGTTGGCATTCGACAAATGATGCAAAAAGTAATAAAGTAGATAACCATAAACTTACAAATATCAAAATAGATTTGCTGAAGCTGTATAAGGTGTATGAGCAACAGAAAAACATAGTACTAAAAAAGCTTTCTGGAAAGCAAAAAACAGCAGTTTAAATTAAAATTGGCGCAGAAATTAGATTTTTGAAACATGCTTGCAATGAATAATATGATGCATGCACAGCACTCGTTTAGAAAAATAGTTCATTGTTAATTTAATATTAGGTGCTGTACATATAGGATGTTAGGCCTATTTGCATTTTTTAATATCTCTCGGGTATCCCTTAAACCTCGCATACATCATTCTTTCATTCACTGGATTGTACTCCAACAGTGCTTTTTTTGCATTTTCGCCAATAACCATTCCAACTCCATAGACGTGCTCCCTCTCTGTTCCAGACCATAATATTTTCCCACCTTCCATTTCTCCACCTCCTGTCCATCGGACCTCGCACAGACCAACCACATCATATCTGAATCGTTCAAGTTCTTTCTTCATCAACGCGTAAGCCCCTGTCTGCCACAATGACCTGACATTCCAAACTCCAACTGTCAACCTCATCTTCAGTCTATCTTTCTGGGACTCAGTAGCATACTTTACACTGCAGCATAAATTTTAAATAAAAATGACATAAAAATAACATAAAATAAGTCATATTAAATTTTACTTTTATCCTTTTCTCAAGGCAATAAATTTTTAGCCCCATCTGTGACATCTTTTACACTACAGACAATCCCAGTTTAAAACTAATTAATCAATCAATCACATAAATTATGATAATCAAGAGTAAAACAAATGAAATCAAAATCATACCTTTAAAAGTGATTTATGCAAAGAATCAAACTTCAGTGGTAAATTTAATATTGACTCATTTAACAGTGTCAACAAAGCTTTCTCAATACATTTAAAATCGTCTGAATTCGGAGTTTCTAATTTTGATTCTGAGCTTACATCGGCCAGCTGACTACATTCATTCAAATTCAAAGAACTTCTAGACGAAAACAACGTAAGTTTATTTTCAGAAGAAATTTTTGTTGAGCTCAATTCGTCTGTAGTTGAAGTAGTCGGTCCGCATGAAGAAATAATTTCAGAGCCAAATTTTTCATTATTATTAGTACCTTCCGCTATGGCTATCTGCCTTCTCCGTGCCGCGATTTTTTCTCGCAAACTATTTTGTTTGTTTTTAATAGCCTGTATTTCATCCCATGCATCAGACATGTTTCAGATTAACACTAACTATTAAATCAACTAAAACAACTTTTTCAAAATCTGAAAATCACGTTAGTAAACGGTACAGAAGACACGATAGGAAAAATTCTACCGAGCGTGAAGTTAATTTTTGTCTCGTAGCACCAAATAATTATTTTACACAATCATATATATATATATATATATATATATATATATATATATATATATATATATATAGCATAAACACAAAAATAACTAAGAAGTTGTAAAATAAGTAGAAGATCGTAAAAGTATATATTCAATATATATATATATATATATATATATATATATATATATATATATATATATATATATATATATAAGAATCGAAATATGGCCTTATTTGCAACATGAATTCGAAAAATAAGTTCATTTTGAATTTTAATAAACTAAACGTTCACCAAAAAACTTTAGTGAGAAAAATCGAAAAAACGAACTACAAACATATTAACGCCAATCATTCGGTAGAATTTATAGAATATTGTAAAAATTATGGTCTATTATCAACATATATATATATATTGTATGTATATATATATATATATATATATATATATATATGTGTGTGTGTGTGTGTGTGTGTATATATATAAAGAGAGAAAGAGAGAGAGATAAAAAAAAATTAAATTTACAATATTCATAATATATCTGTAACATTATAAGTGGTTCTGCGTATGTCAGAGCTGCAATAATAAAGACTAATAAAAAAAAATATATAAGTATAACAATATAACATAAACACTAGAATAACTAAGAAGCTGTAAAACAAGTAGAAGATCGTAAATGTATAGGACCTCTAGATTGCAACATTTTACAAGCCAGATACAAATTTCTGTTTAGCCTGTCAAGCGCGGCCATCAGAAATGAGACCAGACTCTAAAGCGCACTAAAACTGTGCGCGGGTGCGTTCGTAAGTCTCTAGAGTTATTCTATGTATATGGTTGAAACCAATTAATTCCACATATATGGTTGTAACAATATGAAAGATTCAAAATGTTTGTTTGTGCTTGTTTCAGTCAGAAAACATTCTAACAGTGAAGTGGCTAATAATAGCGATAACAAAGTAGTTTTATAGTGCCAGTTGTACAGTTGCTTCAGAAACATATAAAATATTTGTCTGGGATTGTGCCAGCAAGCATTGACATTACTACTAATAATAGTACAGCGATTTATATATCGCCAGCGCACAGCTTTCTCAGAGGCGTCCGCGTAAACAATCAATCAATTAGCTTATAAAGCGTTATTTCCGCAATGTTCAACAGCGCTCCTCAACGAATTTTGCAAATATATAGTTGTTGAGATCCGCTCTGAACTTTGTAAGTGATGGAGATGACGTCACAGAAGTAGGTGGAGAGTTCCAGTGAGAAGGGCCAAAAAACAAATGCAGATTTAGCAAAAGTGTGTTTAACACAAGTTAAGAAGAAGTGAGTAGATTCAATTAATATATCTGATAAGTACTTAGGAAATATTTTAGGTTGAAACTTATACACAAATGTGCAAATTTTAAAAATTATTCCGTATTTCATAGGTAGCCAGTGCAAGAGAACAAGATATGGAGATATATGAGAAAAGAAAGGGGCACAAGCAACTAGACGTTAAAAAATGTTCGTGTTTTAAAAAAAGTCAGTAGAACTCAATTTACGAACAAAAAACTCAGAAAAAGCACCGTTATGTGTAGAAAATCTACCATGAATTGACGTGATAAACAAAAAAACGTCGCCAGCCTAGTATTGGGTACACGATCACAAATCTTGGCCCCGTCAAAATTTCAAAATTATTTAAACATTTTCAAAATATTGGGTCCCTGTCAAAGTTGTCTAGATCCGCCAAAGCGTACATATAAAAAAAATTTTCAATCAAAGATTTGTGTTTTATATCAGTGCAAATCAATCCAAATATGGCTCAGTAGCATAAGAACTACCCTTTTTCTTGCCGTTAACGAAATAATTGACATGTTTACTTGCTTAAATCAATAACTTTACATTTTTTCTTTTCACGCTTAAAAGGCAAGGTCACTCAGGCGACCTTGTCCAATTGTTAGTCTTAAATATGCAGAAATTAGTTTCGTCTTGCTAAGCGATCGTTCACAACTCGCAACTGAAATGGTAATTAAGTAGTATTTGCAGAGCCACTTTAAGATTTGGAAAAACGTCCTCTCCTAAACTATTTACATCAGACATTTCTTGGGAAACCGTTTTAATACTCTATTTTCCAGGTTGATATAACCAGTAATGTGCATAGTTTAACTAAATAGTTGCAAACTAATAGTTTAACGGTTTTTTTAGTTTTCCGCATAGCTTAACTAAAAAAAGTTTAATAATATAATAATTTAACTAAAATATTTCAGTTTAATTAAATTTCTTAGTTATCTCTTTTTTTTGCAATATCAGGTCGTGACCTATTGTTTTTTAAATATAAATTTTAAACTGAAAAGTACGAATCAGTTTAAGTTTTCCATATTTTTGTTGTTTTTTCTATCACTGGATACATCATTTTTTTAATAGTTTTTTTGTTGCCTTTCGTAAAAATTGTATTTCCTGTTTCAGTCAATTTGAGAACAAGCAGTGAAAATGTAGAACACAATATTTAATTATTTTTAATATTGTGTTTCAAATATTTAAAAATTTTTTTTAGAATATAAAATTAAAATAAACATTATAATTGTTTGAAAAATACATCAAAAGATTTATAAACTGTTTCATGTATTCTTCCAAATTTGAAAATGTAAAAAAAGATTGAATTAAGACATATATTTGACTTTGATGAGTATAATGTAAAAAGAAGACATTTGTGTAACTTTTGAAAATGAATAGCTAAAAGAATTAATTTTTTTTTCAATATTTTAATAAAAAAAATATAGGCATGGGTCTGGTTTCTGGTTTTTTGTCTCGGGCCCACTGAAAAAAGGCTTAATTCACTTCTAGTCTATCATACTTTTTAAGGATATTGTTGAATATAATTAATTTGTACAGGCTTTCAGAAACGCTGTCAACAGTCGACCATCCAGGTGCGTGCATTGGCGCCTTACAAACTAATAATAATAATTATCACTATCATATACAACATCACCATGCTTTTCATGATCAGATTTTCCTGCTTTCACTCAGGTTCTCGTGAGAGAATAACGAGCAAGTTGCGACTATTAATCTTTCAATAGAATTTTCTAAAAATTATTCATGCGATGATGAAATTTGTCAACTTTGTTGATGATTGTTGATAATTATTGCTTCAAATTATGAAAAACACTTCATTTGTCGGCGAGTTTGTTCAGTTTGTAAAAGTGCCATGTCACGCGCTGCTTGTATAATACATATGTATACGTAATGTACATTGTAATGTACGTTGTGTGGCGTGGATAAATACATTTGTGGCACAAATGATTAATAAACACTATGGCGGTTTTGCATTTGACAGATTTGCATAATAGAGAACAAAACATTTCGAGGAACACCGCTTGTTGTTTGACTGTATTGACTTGTGCAATAACCTGAATCGATTTATTGACGCTGACACATTCTTTTGTGACGGACTTCCATGATTTTGTTTTCTTTCATCCTAAAGCGTTTTTATGCAGGCCCTTGCTTTGTTTTTAGATTTTATGAGTCTTTTGGAGTACATTTTATTATTAATGTTTTTTAACAGAAAGCTTCAAAATTATTTGTTTGTTGGCAATACGTTAATTAACATTTTATTATTACAGAATTCGAAATTTCGTGTGATTTCTATAATATAAATTCTTTATGTTGTCCATTGGATGATCTTCATTTTTGTAACAAACTGCCTAAACTACTAATGAAGTCCAAGTTTCCTTTGTCTGAAATTTAACGAAATGATTTTTTGATATCAATAAAAATTTAAAAATTAAAATATTGTTCATAACAATAATTGCCGACAATCAATTTTTAAGATTAACACCAATAATTAAAACAACTGCTATATGGTACTTATCATTTCGTCGAAGTTCATTGCATCTAATTTATATCTTCTAAATCTAAATTCATTCAACTGATTTCTACAAAATGAAATTTGACTCTTGACAAAAAATAAATTTAGTCAAAATAAAAAACATGCCTGAATTAATGTTTAGACGTCACTAATTTAGGCAAAATGGCATTGAAAGAACTGAACGTTAAATGAAATGTACGCTAGAAAAATTAACGCATTAGATCGCTACTATTATCACTTAATTGATTAACATTAAACATGCCAGGCCGATCTTTCAACTAAAAAACTAGTAAGCATAACAACAACGATATATTTCTGCTTGACAAATTTTGCAGTAAAATAATTCCACTACAACAACGAAACTTACTGAATAAAATCGACAACAACCGGTGGCGAAGTAGTCGCTAGTGACGTATCTGACCGCCCAGCCACCTCCTTCCTCCAGGACCATTTCACAACTGTTCAAAGACTGGTTGGACCTGCAATTGAACCCGATACATATGTTTGGGTCGGACCGACATTGATAAGCACACTCGATCTCGCACATCACCGAAACAGGAATGGGTTGGGAAATTTTACCCGCTGTGACGCAGATGTCGAAACCTGTTGTGGTTTTTATTTGTTTGTAGCTCTGAGAAGTTGTTGATCCAGCAATTGTAATTGATATGATGGTGAAGAGAATGCTGATTCTTATGTGGCGATAGGTGATGTCAAAAAAATGCATATCCATTGAATTATAACTGCGAGCTATGTTGTTTTTATTTGCCACGTTTTTTATAACAACGTTTTACCATTGTCTAGATTTAATTTTTTTTAAATTGGTCAATGTTTTTAATTTTACAAATAATCTGTCGTTTTAATAATTGTAATAAAACCGACATGAAATCGAAATAAAGGATAAGTTTGAGTGACTTCATGCTTTAAAAAGAGAACGCAATAAAATATCACTGTATTGCACGCATTCTTCAGCCATCCAACCAGGAAGTACATGCAACATTCGATCCATGCTTGTTAGGCGTGCATGGAAGTCTTGCAATCTGGATCACATCCACTGAGCATCCAATTTTTAAGTAGCAACAAAATTTTTTTCACGTTGAACGAAAACAAATGAAGCAACATAAAATTTGAAATATTTAAATTTTATATGATTTCAACGAATTCTTTGAATTACTTTCCATGCTTTGTTTTTATTAATTTGTCAGGTTTTTCATTTTTAATTAACTATCCAAAAACAAATAAAATTATCTAAAGTAAGTAATAATTAGCATTATATTTTTTAGTCATTTGTAATGAAAAATTGGAGCCTGCAAAAATTAACAAACATCTACAAAAATATAATTTTTTATTTTTGTAATCCTGTTGAAAAGTTATAAACAATTTTGTTAATCACCATTCGATGAGTTAGGTTCATCGATCAAGTTTGCAAATAGGAAAAACTCAAACAAAAGCAATTTAATTCGTCTAATGGTTTTTAAACATTCTATCTTCTTTCTCGTGCCTTATCCTTTTATGACATTGACGACCATCGACTTCCACAAAACCCGATCTTTGACACTTTGTAAGAGTTGAAATGTGGTCATATTCAACAAGTGACACCAGGACTTCACGGATGTTTTTGGTTGTTGACCGCGATCACTTTTCTCTGCAATCTTTCTAGTAGTTAGATTTTCCATTCTTTCATCCATATGATGTGACCAAAAACTTTATCTGCCTCCGTGGGATTATCTGAAGTAATTTCCTTTTTTTTATAACCGGACTGTTTTAATACATCCTCATTCTAAGTATGAGAGGTTTGACTAATTTTCATAATTCTTCTCAAAAACCACATCTCAGCAGCGTTAATCTTTTTTTCCATTTCTATAGAAATTGTCCAGGACTTAGAACCGTAAGTTAGCACAGGAAAAATGTAACATGATGTTAATTGCTAGCCTTTCCTCTCACTTTCAAAAAAGAGTTTGGAAACATTTGTTTGCAGTTTTTCAATTGAATCTGCTATAATCGGCATATCTTACACTGTTAATATTCACGCCTCTAATAAATATTCAAGGTAGATTTTCTATCTTTCACATGATGATCTCACTATAGAGATTGTACAGGTCTGAAGAAAATACACAACTTCGCCTAACACCTTTCTTTATTTCGACAAAACTAGTCATCTTGTTACCAACTTTCATCGCTGCTTTTTGTTCCCAATAGAAATTTTTAATAACTTTCGTGTTTCTTCCATCAATGTTTAAATTTTCCATTATTTCCATATGCTCCACGTGTTTCACGCTATCAAAAGCTTTGGAGTAATCGACAAAACATATAAACAAGTCTTTCTTCATTTCAATCACTCGTTCACTCATCATTCGTAGCATAAGGATAGAACTTGAAGGACATTCTGTAAATTTCTTTTTTTATTTACTTTTTTTTAATTTCTGTTGAACAATTATGCTAAATTAGTTTTTTGCATGACTCCACATTTTATCTAACTTCTCCCTCACTTTAAAGTTCACAACGTTCTTTAAGGAAGGCTGCTGATCATCATGGTTGGAAGTTTAAAAATTAACTGATTGATTGCGGTGATGCTTGTCAACAAGGCTCCCCATGATTTAACAAAATTTTAAAATTTTCAAAATTTTATGATAGATCTACTTGAAAAAGCAATAATTTATCAAATACAATGAAGCATCAGCTCGAAAATGCAAAAATTTGCACACAAAGACTTGTGCATATAAATTTACTTGTGTATATGTTTGTTCATGGCTTGACAATAAACCATCTTACCAGCTGAACCTAATACATTAAAATAATAAATAATACATTCCAAAAATAAATTTTTATGATGTTAGTTTTATTTCAAATGTAATAGAATGTTCTTGCACAAATATTACAAAAAATGCGTTAACAAATTTAATTGGTGAATCAAGAGAGCCAATAATTCTGGTGAATGTAGAACAATTAGTGGTTTCTTCAACAAAACTTTTTAAATAATTCAATCAATCGACATTTTAAAATATTATTCAGTCTTGTGTTTTTAATAATTTAATTGTGTTTGTAATTACTAAAAATATTTTTCAATGTAACATTACTAGAAGATAAATTTCATGATAGCATTACTAGAAGATATTTTTCTTCACACGCAAGTGCCTGTTGACGGATCGAAGCGGTTGAAGCATGTTCCAATCGAACAACTGAGGCTCACTAAGCTACAGAACACGTATTTTGTGGGGTCTTTGTTTGGGTACTTCTTGTTGTTCAGTGTGAGGCAAGGGTTGTTGATCGAGCAATCGTATGTTAGTAATGTTGTTGTTGTTGTCGCAGTTGTAAGCTGTTGCGAGTGAACTGTTGATGGTAATGCTGTTGCATTTGTTTTTGTCGTTGATGGCGTTGAGATTGTTGCCATTGACGAATTCGCTACATAAAAAGTAGTTGCTGGCGATGTTGACAAATCTGCCGCTGCAGGGATGGTTGTTGTTGTCTGGTAAGTAGTGCCAGATTCTATGTTGAACAATTATAAAAAAATCATATATATATATATATATATATATATATATATATATATATTATATATATATATATATATAAGTATAATATAAATGTTATAATAATAACCATATATTGTTTTCAACATTATATACAGCAAATATTTAGTAAAATCTAGATGCAATTAGAATGTCATTGTCACACAATCACTAAACCAACATATGCATTTGCTCCGTTCTCACCGCCACCAACACAATACATCAACCATCATCAGTGAGATTGTCATAGGCATCAGTATTCAAATTCATACACTGCGCAGCGCATGGTAATACGCGTGAATTACACGCAAAAGCTACCGGGTATCTGTAACATCGCTTATGTTGTTCCTGAAAATTACCGGTTTGGTCGGCTACTGAACTCTTGGTTTCCATGTATATTCTTGTTCTTTTGTTTTTTCGACAGCTGCCTATAAGGACAAGACGGAAATCGAACTCGGTCTCTACAACGACAGGACAAGGCACCTTAACCGTTGAACTATCTTGTTGCTCTAATCATCACCATTATCATCGTCATCATCATCATAATCTTCAATGAAAAAAACGTTGAAATCTTATGAGTAGGAGAAACAAATTATTGTTTGGTACGTTGCAGTGAGCTTTTGTTTCAGTGCTTTATAATTTAATTCACCAGCCTCAAAAATGTTTGCTGCACCCAAAATGTCCTCCATGATTTTGCCTTCCAAACAAAGAGTTAATGCATGTTTTAAGACTTTTTATTTTTAATGAAACCAAATCCAGAAACCAAAACGAACAAATGGACTGAACTACACATGAAAACTACAGATTCAACCAGACGTAAAACATAAATTATACAATCTTATTTCAGTTAAATTTTCTTCAAAACGGTATAGAATTTACATTTATAACAGAACCTTTCTTAAATTTTTTCGTAATTTAAATTTTATAAAACTTGNT